CTTCATTAGTGTCAGAAATAATAATTTATTCTGTACATTACAAATATTAAATTACTGATACGTATCTGCAATTTTAGAACTTTGATGAATGATGAATTTATCTTTGTAATTAATAGAATAAACGAAATAAATAGTCCATTAAATTGTTTTACTCAAAGTATATCTAATAAATTAATGTCAGCTTCGTTTTCTTAAATTTACTATGAAACAAAATAAAATTAGTTTCAACTAAAATTACTAAACAATTAACTTCTATTTTTTTTATTTCAGGTCATTCTGGCATCTTCGGAGGTCTTGTAAGTAATTTTGCATAATAATACGTACACACGTGCATATTCTTTGAATATTTTGAGATTAATTGTCAACTGTAAGAAAGTATTTTGAACATTGATGCTCAAGGAAAATACTGAAATAATTTATTTGACTCCATTCGGTGATGTTTAGTCCTCTCATATCTTCAGTAGTTTCATCTTCTGTCGTTCAAAAGTTGATTTTTATTCCTACGATGTTGTTTAAGGGATTGAAGCCAGTAAAAGAATTAAAGTTAATTTTTCTTCAAAAATTAGAAACCAAATTTAAACACTTGAACACTTAATTAATTAAATAATTCACTTTTAGTAACGTAAATAAAATAGTACACTTCCTATGGACTTATAATTAGTTTTACTGTAGGCATTCTGTCCCTCCTGATGAAGTCACAATGTGGTGAAACAATTGCCAAGTTAGTGAAAGTATATGAAAGTTACTTAGGTGTATGAAGAAATTAATAGAGAATTTCTGAACCACAATTCCTTGCATTTCAATGGTTTTACAATAATAAATGAAGAATATTCATAAAGTTCGACACATTCTCTGGCACATATTCTGAGGGATTTTGTAAGTAGTTTCTTTCTCGACTTTTTTCAACTCGTCGTCCATTTTTAATGGCACAAACCGTCACAAATGCATACATACCCGACTTCAAAGTGATTTTCCCACAATAAAAAGTGTATTCTTGATCCGTTAGTTCTGCCTCTCGTGGGATTTCCCTAAGTAAAATATTAGTGACAAGGGTAACGCCATTAAATTGTCCATCACGGGATCGAGATAAAACGAAATCGGTGACTGACTGTCCGTCCCTCGAGACTACATGGGCAGGGGGTTCTCTACATTCCACCGAGGGTAAAACAGCTTTTACTGGGGGGTCATCGCATGCACTGAGGATGGACGCATCACAATAGTAGCATCGCAGCTGGCTAGATCCTCCGAAACAGGGGTTAACTGTGAGATAAAGAAATGTACCTACTGTTGCTTGATGTAAATTCATTACAATAGCAGTAAAACACAAACTTGATGTTATTTCCACAAACTCTATTGTTTCGAAGTTAACAATTGCTTTTTTATTAGAAGCTTGAAACTTGTTTCATGTAAACTTCTGATGAAGCCATAATGCAAGTGAAATAACTACTAATGCCCGATTTTTTTGTTGATTACCAATTTTGCTAAGTAGCTCATTACAAAACATTACAACAATTTATCGGACATGGTACTACTTTAATTAATATATGTATTACGATTCCTTGTTTAGTTTGTTAGGATAAAGATTCACGTTTTAAAAGACATCTTGTTATTGCAATGAGTTATTATATACATGAATTTTTTACTAGACTATAAGACTGCAGACTTTAGTGTATATTTGATATTATTTTTAATTGGATAGGTATTGTATGAAAGTAAACAAAAATAGTGGTATGTATGGGAAGAAAAAATTGGGAAAGAGCGAATATAAAGATAGGAGGCGAAAAATTAGAAGAAGTGGTTGATTTTAGGTATCTAGGAAGTCAGATAAGTCAGAACGGAAGGAGTAGTAGGGATATAAAGGGCAGGGTCAAGTCACCTTCAATAAAAAGAAGTCACTTCTATACTCGCGAACAGTTAATTTAGAAGTTCGAAAAAGTATAAAAATGATATCTACAAATATCGTTTGTGTATTAAATTATAAATAGAAACTTAGAGATTAACTACTTGCAGTAGATATATAACATTCAATCTTTTTACGATTTACTATCTATAGTATATTGATGAAGTAACTTTTCGGTAATACTTACAATTTAGTGTAACAACAATAAGAAACAACACGGCGTATAAACTAGTATCCAATTTTGCCATTTTTAAATGTATTACACTATTTTTACTAATTCTATTTAATGAACAGTTACCAGTATCGGTTAACAAATAAGTAGATGGAATTTTATTTCTGAATCATTCTTCAAATATGATGATATTTAATTGTGTGAGAGATATGGGGCAATGTTGACCTGTGTTCTGCAAAATTTCAGGAAATAAATTATTATGAAATACATAAAATAAACTTTATGTCCTGGATAGTTGGCTTTAAAGAATGTTGAAATTAGATATTTTGAGAATATTATACAATAAATTGCTCATTTTTGTTGTTTTAATTTGTTTTTCATGCTTTTTAGCACCATTTATTGTTTTTTTCTTGCAAGAATTTAATTTTTACAGCAATTGCACTTTTCGTCTTTGAACATATTTTTGTTTAATTTTTTTACAATTAAAATCGTTATCTACCGCATACTTTGACCACCTCCCCCCACGTAACAAAAGACCGTAGCGCTAAGTTGAACCCCCCCCTATTTCCCTAATTTGCATTACCTGCGTAATTTGTAAATAAATAACTAAATGAAAAGTTGAAATTAGAAAGAAAGTGAAAGCTACGTATTTCTTATACAAATACTGAGGGTAGTAAAAGCAATAAGAAGAGGTAGTCTTCTTAATCTAGTTACCATTTTTTATTGATAGAGAAAGGTACCTATATAAAACAAAACATTATGATACACATTTATTTAAAAAATGATTATATAAAAAATATGTTTGAGAATGTAGGTAGATAATTAAAATATAAACAATCTTATCATATTAAACAGTATTAAGGTGCAAGATATAAGTATTTTATTAGAAGAATTGCATAAATCTGCATCGCACAGACTGCAACCAGTTACTTGTATTCTCTCATCTATTTCTTCTTTAATAAAATTGCAAACATCTAAAATATCCTTTTTCACTGGTAAACATCTTCTTTGCATACTCTCATTATCACCTGCAACAAAAATGATAATTATCGTACAACTAATAAAACATTTAATACTTCATTAGTGTCAGAAATAATAATTTATTCTGTACATTACAAATATTAAATTACTGATACGTATCTGCAATTTTAGAACTTTGATGAATGATGAATTTATCTTCGTAATTAATAGAATAAACGAAATAAATAGTCCATTAAATTGTTTTACTCAAAGTATATCTAATAAATTAATGTCAGCTTCGTTTTCTTAAATTTACTATGAAACAAAATAAAATTAGTTTCAACTAAAATTACTAAACAATTAACTTCTATTTTTTTTATTTCAGGTCATTCTGGCATCTTCGGAGGTCTTGTAAGTAATTTTGCATAATAATACGTACACACGTGCATATTCTTTGAATATTTTGAGATTAATTGTCAACTGTAAGAAAGTATTTTGAACATTGATGCTCAAGGAAAATACTGAAATAATTTATTTGACTCCATTCGGTGATGTTTAGTCCTCTCATATCTTCAGTAGTTTCATCTTCTGTCGTTCAAAAGTTGATTTTTATTCCTACGATGTTGTTTAAGGGATTGAAGCCAGTAAAAGAATTAAAGTTAATTTTTCTTCAAAAATTAGAAACCAAATTTAAACACTTGAACACTTAATTAATTAAATAATTCACTTTTAGTAACGTAAATAAAATAGTACACTTCCTATGGACTTATAATTAGTTTTACTGTAGGCATTCTGTCCCTCCTGATGAAGTCACAATGTGGTGAAACAATTGCCAAGTTAGTGAAAGTATATGAAAGTTACTTAGGTGTATGAAGAAATTAATAGAGAATTTCTGAACCACAATTCCTTGCATTTCAATGGTTTTACAATAATAAATGAAGAATATTCATAAAGTTCGACACATTCTCTGGCACATATTCTGAGGGATTTTGTAAGTAGTTTCTTTCTCGACTTTTTTCAACTCGTCGTCCATTTTTAATGGCACAAACCGTCACAAATGCATACATACCCGACTTCAAAGTGATTTTCCCACAATAAAAAGTGTATTCTTGATCCGTTAGTTCTGCCTCTCGTGGGATTTCCCTAAGTAAAATATTAGTGACAAGGGTAACGCCATTAAATTGTCCATCACGGGATCGAGATAAAACGAAATCGGTGACTGACTGTCCGTCCCTCGAGACTACATGGGCAGGGGGTTCTCTACATTCCACCGAGGGTAAAACAGCTTTTACTGGGGGGTCATCGCATGCACTGAGGATGGACGCATCACAATAGTAGCATCGCAGCTGGCTAGATCCTCCGAAACAGGGGTTAACTGTGAGATAAAGAAATGTACCTACTGTTGCTTGATGTAAATTCATTACAGTAGCAGTAAAACACAAACTTGATGTTATTTCCACAAACTCTATTGTTTCGAAGTTAACAATTGCTTTTTTATTAGAAGCTTGAAACTTGTTTCATGTAAACTTCTGATGAAGCCATAATGCAAGTGAAATAACTACTAATGCCCGATTTTTTTGTTGATTACCAATTTTGCTAAGTAGCTCATTACAAAACATTACAACAATTTATCGGACATGGTACTACTTTAATTAATATATGTATTACGATTCCTTGTTTAGTTTGTTAGGATAAAGATTCACGTTTTAAAAGACATCTTGTTATTGCAATGAGTTATTATATACATGAATTTTTTACTAGACTATAAGACTGCAGACTTTAGTGTATATTTGATATTATTTTTAATTGGATAGGTATTGTATGAAAGTAAACAAAAATAGTGGTATGTATGGGAAGAAAAAATTGGGAAAGAGCGAATATAAAGATAGGAGGCGAAAAATTAGAAGAAGTGGTTGATTTTAGGTATCTAGGAAGTCAGATAAGTCAGAACGGAAGGAGTAGTAGGGATATAAAGGGCAGGGTCAAGTCACCTTCAATAAAAAGAAGTCACTTCTATACTCGCGAACAGTTAATTTAGAAGTTCGAAAAAGTATAAAAATGATATCTACAAATATCGTTTGTGTATTAAATTATAAATAGAAACTTAGAGATTAACTACTTGCAGTAGATATATAACATTCAATCTTTTTACGATTTACTATAATCTATAGAATATTGATGAAGTAACTTTTCGGTAAGACTTACAATTTAGTGTAACAACAATAAGAAACAACACGGCGTATAAACTAGTATCCAATTTTGCCATTTTTAAATGTATTACACTATTTTTACTAATTCTATTTAATGAACAGTTACCAGTATCAGTAAGAGAGCACAACTAATATAGCAAAAACTGATAAACTTCGATTTCAGATTGATAACGAAAGTAAATAATAAGAATATACATTACATGCTCAGGTAATAGGTTTACTTACTTACTAATCGTCAAATAAATGAAATTATGGTGTAATTGTTCACGGAAAAAAATTTAAATATATAACAATTTTCTGGTATTTAAATAAGTCTTGCATACGACAGGCGCAATGTCCGCTAGGGGTCGTATTTTTCGACTAGCTCTAGGATTGGACGTGGCCAAGGCGTCTTTTTCGAACTCTAACTCATCCCTAATTTAATCTGGAACTCTACACAAAATTTACTCAAAAAAAATATTATAGAGAATGTTAGATTAGGTTAGGTTTGCAATAGGTTACATTAGTTGATGATTAATTGCTGGTTTAGTATTCTATCTTTTACATCTACTCCTCTAAAGTTTGAAGAGAACCACTTTGTACATGCATCAGTTTATTATATTTATTAGAAAACAGATAATTTAATTATTCTGAGCAATGGATGTAATCATCATTGTATAACTATCATCGATCTTTCATTATTGCAATTGTAAAAAAGAAAAGAAACAACAATTTAGTTTTAATCATTTTATTTTTCTGAAATAGTTTCAAAGTTTTTATCAGTAGTAATCTTAAAGCAGGAAAAATATAATTCGACAAAATTAATGAGCAGGACAAAGTATATCTAATAAATTAATGTCAGCTTCGTTTTCTTAAATTTACTATGAAACAAAATAAAATTAGTTTCAACTAAAATTACTAAACAATTAACTTCTATTTTTTTTTTTTATTTCAGGTCATTCTGGCATCTTCGGAGGTCTTGTAAGTAATTTTGCATAATAATACGTACACACGTGCATATTCTTTGAATATTTTGAGATTAATTGTAAACTGTAAGAAAGTATTTTGAACATTGATGCTCAAGGAAAATACTGAAATAATTTATTTGACTCCATTCGGTGATGTTTAGTCCTCTCATATCTTCAGTAGTTTCATCTTCTGTCGTTCAAAAGTTGATTTTTATTCCTACGATGTTGTTTAAGGGATTGAAGCCAGTAAAAGAATTAAAGTTAATTTTTCTTCAAAATTTAGAAACCAAATTTAAACACTTGAACACTTAATTAATTAAATAATTCACTTTTAGTAACGTAAATAAAATAGTACACTTCCTATGGACTTATAATTAGGTTTAATATAGGCATTCTGTCCCTCCTGATGAAGCCACAATGTGGCGAAACAATTGCCAAGTTAGCGAAAGTATATGATAGTTACTTAGGTGTATGAAGAAATTAATAGAGAATTTCTGAACTACAATTCCTTGCATTTCAATGGTTTTACAATAATAAATGAAGAATATTCATAATGTTCGACACATTCTCTGGCACATATTCTGAGGGATTTTGTAAGTAGTTTCTTTTTCGACTTTTTTCAACTCGTCGTCCATTTTTAATGGCACAAACCGTCACAAATGCATACATACCCGACTTCAAAGTGATTTTCCCACAATAAAAAGTGTATTCTTGATCCGTTAGTTCTGCCTCTCGTGGGATTTCCCTAAGTAAAATATTAGTGACAAGGGTAACGCCATTAAATTGTCCATCACGGGATCGAGATAAAACGAAATCGGTGACTGACTGTCCGTCCCTCGAGACTACATGGGCAGGGGGTTCTCTACATTCCACCGAGGGTAAAACAGCTTTTACTGGGGGGTCATCGCATGCACTGAGGATGGACGCATCACAATAGTAGCATCGCAGCTGGCTAGATCCTCCGAAACAGGGGTTAACTGTGAGATAAAGAAATGTACCTACTGTTGCTTGATGTAAATTCATTACAATAGCAGTAAAACACAAACTTGATGTTATTTCCACAAACTCTATTGTTTCGAAGTTAACAATTGCTTTTTTATTAGAAGCTTGAAACTTGTTTCATGTAAACTTCTGATGAAGCCATAATGCAAGTGAAATAACTACTAATGCCCGATTTTTTTGTTGATTACCAATTTNCGTTTAAAAATAATAGATTTTTAAATTTCATAATTTAATTCAATTCAAGTTATAGGCATAACTCACCTGAAATCTCTTTAGATGTAAAATCAGGACGGCTGGGGGGTTGTAGATAAGAAGTTGCTTAGTGGCGTTCGTGTAGACCGGTTTTTTCTCATTACTTCCGTGACGTTTTGTACACAGGTCACAACTGACTTTGTTGTTACCCGTCATAAGCTCACGTGCGGTGAACTGATTCAAACAGGACTGGACTGAACACTCCCCCTCCTCACATTGGTATCTAGCTGACATTGTGCCCGTCCAGCCGTCATCAAAATCTTCCTCCATCTGGAAAAGAGATACATAATTTAAATAAGGCATTTAAAAACTGTTGCTGGTAACTAAATATATCTGTTAGGGGTTTTTACTTTTTCTTGTTCATCGTCTTCATAGCCGCCACATGCACCCTCCAAATTGATATCCAATTGCATTTTGCTACCACTTGAGGGTCCGCTAAATATCGAATCCATTTTGTTAGAGTCGCCGTCATTTAAGAGGGACAACTTAGCTAAATCGACTTTCAGGTCTGTATTTTTGTTGTTCACGAAAGCTAGTCTTGACTGGGGTCGTTCAAAGTCCTCGTTTATTCTGTAATTATGGATTAAAACGTAACTCCTGATGCTATGAAAAAAAAATTGAAAAAAGGACTTACTCGTCATTAGGACTATTGTGTCCCATCAAAGGACTTCCCATGTCTATGTTTGTTTCGCTAGATGCAGGACTATTTTCAGGGCTAGTGGGTGGTATAGGTGATACACTCAACATTCCTACTGCGGGACTAGGGACTCCGCTGTCGTCCACTCTCATTTCTGGAGATGTGCTGCGTACATTTGAATCAGGGCTACCATTATCAATTTTGTCGGAATTGTAACCTGATTCAGTACCTTTAGGTATGTCTTCGTTGCTTTGCGTTTCAGTTGCCATCTTTTTGAAGGAATTTTCCTGTTATACATATAAACATTACTTACATTAACAAATGGAACAATTTAAAACTTACGTCAGCGTTATCTTCTATATCTGCGTCAGATTCGCTTTCACTGTTGTTATCATCACTCTTATTCTCTTCAGTCATTGTAACGTTATGATTAGAAACAGTGGAGAATGAAGACCTGGACCCTTTCTGCTTCTTATTCTTTCTCGCCAGCTTCCTCTCCTTTTTAATTTGATGTTTAGACTGTTTGTTATCATCTATTTCTTCAGCTTTCCTTCGAAGAACGGGAGGTAGTTGCTTTTCAGCTATTGGAAGGCTAGCAAATTAAAAATGAATTTATAATTTCCAAGTTTTAAGATTAATTACAGTCTACCTCAAGTCTAAAAAGAATTCGTTTCGGTGTGACATATGATCGCACTCTTTACATTGTAGAGTGCTAACGAGAACTCCTCGAAATACTTGTTCTGTTGGTAAAAGAAGTTCTGACGCCTGTTGACCATAAAAACGGATAATCTGTTTCTTTTCCCCTTCGACTGATGAAGGGTCAGTTTTTTTACTAAGACCTATAAATAAAGGGAACAATATATCATAGCAACTATCCTCATTTGTCCATATGAGCAAGTGGATGACTTTTTTCTAAAACTACTACTCATTTTGCTGTTAAGATCAACATTAGTAAAGTAACAAATTATTAGGACACCATGTGTGATGACACTCCCTAATTAATATATTTTTCCGTTAGTTACATAAAGAGTAAAACGGACGTTACCTAAATCAAACCAACTCGATACTTACGCAAGTTCTCCAACAGAAAATCATCTTAAATAAAAAGAAAAACGATCGTTCATCTGACTAAATAATGATTTGTGAATTTCCTGAACACAACACGGATACAATCAAATTTAATGTCTTTATTACAGAGTTTGCCGACATTAAAAGGTGTCAATAAAAACAATACATGTAAATCTACTGAATTATATTATTTCTAATGTTTTAATCATTGTATACGTGTCAGATCAGTATTTTAAATTTTATGTATTACAACTTACCCATTTTTTCTAAAATAACAGTCTGATACCGTCTCAAATCCTCTTCTCTAACAGCCTCTAAAAGATGTCGTAAAAGTTCATGAGCATCATGCTGATGACCACCTGCAAACTGGGGCATCCTTTGGGTCAATTTCGAAAATAAAAATCGAGGATTATAAACTTCTGGTCGCCCACTTTGCAATTCCTCCAATGTTTCTGCTAGTACTCTTGTAAGAGGTCGCCATTCTTCAAGGTGCCCTACAATTTAATTAAATTGGATTATGAGTGTCTATTACAAATAATAAGGCATGAATGGGAGGCTTTACCATCAAGAGGTCCTAGATCAATGGTATTGTCATCAATTTTAAGTTTACCACCCGGAAGTTTAAAATATTGACCAGGTTGCGAAGTTTCTTGTAGAAGATTCAATAGATATGGTGTTTGACCTAAGCATTGCATGACTGAATTAAAAAAGCAGGTATTTCCCAGATTCATCAGGCCTCTTGTCCGAGGAAGTAAGGATAAATCAGACCCTCCATTAGAAAAAGAAAGAGATGTTTTAGTATCCATTACTTCTACCACCTGAAAAATTTATTTTAAAAATTATCTTCTGCTTTTTTAGCATCTATTAGACATGTGTCAAATTATTATTTTATTTAATTTAATTGTCATTCTAAAATATATTTACATACAAAATTAGAAAAAGAATGCTTAGATATTTTACCTTATTATCATTATTTGACATAGGACTGATTGTAGTAACTTTAGTTGTTTCTGACTGCTTTTTGAGATATTCTACAACTTCTAGCAATTTTTTTCTGGCTGTTACATTAATTTCTAAATCACAAGTATAACACCATACACTCCAAGTGGTTGTGTTAACACATAAGGTATGACAATCACATCGTGGGTTGTTGTGATGTTTGAGGGCATGTTGATTTTGATAGCGACCACAACCTTGATTTCCACATTTCAAGCACATCCACAAACTGCTGTCAAATATTATGGAATTACTTTCTAAACTATTACTTGAAGGCTCCTTTAGGCATTCTTCACATTTAGTTTGAAATCCATTTTGTCTAAGGGCTTTTTTCACCCTCTGCAATTCTACTCCTTTATTAATATGAGGACATTCAGTCATATTCTGATTTTCGTCGCATGACTCTGTAGATTCGTCGGAATTACTATTTGGCTCTCCTTGACGTTTCTTCTTACCCATTTTTTTCGATGATTCGTTATTTTCTTTAAATTTATCTCGTCAGGGCAAAAGCACGTTTTAACCTTTTCTCTTTCGAATTAGGGCAATCAGTAACTGTTAAAAGATAAATGCAATGGTCAATGGAGACAAGTCATGCATATATTAACAATGACAATTTGACAATGGACTTACCGTATTAATAAAACTCGACTAATTTTGATGAAAAGAATCATATTTCACTTCCCATTTTTAAATAAGGATCGAGGAAGTAAATATTTTGAACGTTTTGATTCTACACACTACTATTTAACTCGTCTTTACTAGACAGATCACAGATGACAGAGGTCCTCCATGATAAAGGATGATAAAGGACCATAGATAATATAAAGGACCGCGGAACCGTCATTGGCCGTCATAGATCCAAATAAATTGTTATATATCATAGGCATATCATAAAAGAGAGTCAAGCATTAGCCATGATCAAATTATTGCCGTATCGTATTTATAAATAGTAACAATTTTTGTCTGAAGGATACTATTAGATTAGGTATGATAAAGTTAGCGTTGGGCAATATTACTCTGGTTTCTTTAAATATTCGCTTTTTACCTTCACTCCCTACGCTTCCATCCTCCATTCCCACCTTTAAACACTTTAGTATTTTACAAGTTCATCTCTGCCCCTTCCACCTATATTGATATGAAATTTAACTTCTCATCAAAACTTAAAAAACTATTCATAATAGTGAGGATGTTAGTTGTTAAATTATTTATTAATTATGTACGGTTGCTTGCATTCATACACAACTAATACTGAAGTAAAGAATTATGTAAAAAACTTAATCTATGATTATTCTATGATAAAGAACATAGATAAGTAAAGAAGGTCGTGAGATGTGTTGCAAAATTGCCTTTTTGCAATAGAAGAACATTGTATCCTCTTTTTTTTCTCCGAGTCGTTAATAATTTCATAGTTTTTTAAAACGGTATGTATTTTGCAATTTAGTCATCATCTCATCATTAAAATGCTTATTGATTTAGGGATTTATACATTCTTACAAATCTAACCTTAATGTTTTTATTATTTTCTAAGGTTGTGTTTACATAAAATTCTAAAAGATGCGTCACGCTAAATTTATAGCACGGACAGTTTTCGTTCAAAATAATGACGTAGAGGCGGCATGCAAAATTCTAAATAGAATTTTAGGGAAAGAAGGTATTTTAGACCAATACAGAAGAACTAGATATTACGAAAAACCGTTCCAGGTATCTATTATGCTTAAAAGAAAAATTTTTATCTTACAAAATTTTTTTTAGGTTGTGATGTTTGAGGGCATGTTANTGAAAGGTGTAAAGCAATTTATAATGAAGACATGAATAGAAAAATACAGTTTGTCTTAAGAAAAAATAGAGTAGATCCATTTCCTGGATGTTATTGATAGACTTTGAAGTTGTACTTATGATTAAGAATTATAGTTTGTTTAATAAGCTATTTGATTTTTTTTATTCACATTTCTTTGCAAAAGCCCACTTCTAATTTTATTAATTAATGAAATGAAGCTAACGAAATATAACTACTTAGACATCGTAAAATATGATCTGAGTTGATATATACATATATATATATATCTTTTTAAATCTATGGTTATGCAGTGTAAATCCAACTTAAAACAGTGGATGTAAACATAAATACATGACGTAAATAAAAATGGATCCGTGGACAATTTCTAGAGAAAGTGTAAAAATTATTGAAACTTTCGAAAAACCAAAAGAGTTTTTGTCATTCGAAGATAATTTTATCGATTCTTTACCCGATTCTAAGGAGTACATTGCAATATTAGGTAATACAATATAATATATCGTCGTAGGTGCATAGTATAATTGAAAATTTTGTTTTTTTTTTGGTTAGAAAGTAAATTGAAAAAGTTAAAATCAAATCCCAGTTTTATTAAACAACTCCAAGAGAAACGTGAGGCTTGCATGCGTGAGTTATTATGTGATATGACAAATTGTCCAATTGAAATTGAGGAAGATTTTTTAAAAGAGGAACTCCAAACTTATTCGATATTGCGCACTATTGCTCCTGAAAAACAGGCGTTATCGAAAGGTGAAATAGTTGAATTTATAAAATACGACCAGCTAATAAACGAAACTCACGAAAACGAAGACTCTGCAGAAGTAACAGGAACATTGGAATCACAAAAGTCTAAGAATTCTTATCCAAGCAAATAAGCTGTAGGTTAGACATTTTTTTTCTTATTATTGATAAAAATAAAATGCCAACAGCAGTAGATTTTTCAAAAATTAGTTATATAATTATAACGGGTGCATCTCAAGGTATTGGTCGTGCAATTGCTGTTGAGATTGCTAAGACTGTAAACAAAATCTCTACTGTTTTATTGTTGGCTCGGTCTCAAACAGGTTTGAAGGAAACTGAGTCTTTAATGCTAAAAGAAAATGCAGATTTGAACATAATAACAACTGCTCAAGATCTATCTAAACCTGATATCGGTATGTTTGAAACTATTATTAAAGAACCAGTTGATCAAGTAAACAATATTGAACAAGGTATAATATTTCATAATGCTGGCCATGTTGGAACATTAAATCCAACAACAGAACTTATCGATTTGCAAGCATGGCGTAATTATTATGATTTAAATCTCTTTTCTGCTGTATTATTAAATGCAGCTTTTGTTTCTGAAATACGAAAGAAAACAAAAAATTTGATTGTTGTGAATATAACGTCCCTCTGTGGAAAAGTACCATTTGCTAACATGTCCATGTATGGTTCGGCCAAAGCAGCAAGAGATCTATTTTTCCAAGTACTTGCCACAGAGGAGAAAGATATTATTGTATTAAATTACTCTCCTGGTCCTGTGGATACCAATATGGTACAAGATATTGTTACTAATATGAAGGACAAAACAGTAAAAGACCAATTCGTCTCTTTATTAGAAACAAAAACGATTTTAACCCCTGAACAGACCGTTAAAAAAATGCTTAGAATTTTGGAAATGGGTGATTTTAAATCTGGAAGTATTATTGATTATTATAACAGAACTTAAAATGAATTAAACAATATTATGTTAAATATTTTGCATTTATCTATAGTAGCTTTGCTTACAAAAAAAAGATTTTATTTTTGTATCATTACGTATACATATGTAAACTATATGTTGTATTAATATTTAATCAATATATTATTCATTCCATACAAATTTTTTTTTAGGTTTCTGGTAAAGTTAAATAAGTTAATGTAGAGTTTACAGAAAAGTAAAATGAATATGTCGCCGCTAATCTTTCTTTTAAAATTAGCATGGGAAAGTAGATTCCGTCTTCCGTTATTAATTTATGTTGGGTTTATGGCATTTGATGTTCGTATGCAGTTAGAAATAAACGTATCAATGCGTAGGGTTCGAAGAAATAGAGATTACTTGTCCATTAGAGGTCAAAATGAAATTGAGTCAGGTATAAAATAGTCATTCAAATGAGCATTTTCATTGTAGTTTAGAACGCCCAATTACATTTTTACACGATTTAAAAAACAGTAATTTATCACTATAATTTCTTTGTATTATACACTTCAAATTTCCAAAATCATTTTTCAGAATTTTGAATTTAGTACATATAGAAAAGAAACTAACACTTTTTAATTTTTTTAGTCACCGTTATAACTTAAAAAAAATGTTTTTTTTTGTCAAAACACCCAATGTAAAAAGCAGATTTTTTTATTCATATTAAATCAAAACTATATAAAAACAGAATTGGCTTTATTTGAAAGGCAAACTAAAATTAAAAGTATATTATTATTTCATGGACACTAACGAAGTAATGAATCTTTTCACACAAAAAAAAAAAATACGATTCCCTCAAAATTGCACAACCGAAAAATCCACCCAATTAACTATCTCAATAAAATCGGTCAACTGCGACGAAAATCAATTAATTAATCAACCAATCAGTAATTACAATAATAGAAATAATTAGTACCTATTACAAAATTCTTTCGTAGAAAAGAAGATAGGCCTGCGACTTTAAAACTTTAGACTCGGGCACCTCATTTACGTATGTATCGCTGATATAATACCATTTGCCAGGTGGTGAAGATTCTGGCAATGATCGAGGTTCCTTCGGTGGCTCGCCTTCCTTTTGATTCTTCGGCAAGAACTGCCAGCGATAACTGTCCCTGTCGAGAGGGGCGCGTACTTTAACATAAGCCACGTAATGACCGCCGTGGATTGATCCGCTATGCTCCACTACGCCATACAAAGAGTAGTTGACCTTAGTCTGGCCCGTTTCAAACGTGGGAAGATTTTGGCAACGTTTCGAACAAAACGGAGCTAAGTCTAAAGTAGGTGGGAAGGACACATATTTTGCTATTTTCGCAGATCGATAACGACATACCTAAATGGAAATAAAGAAACTAATTGCAATTGAAAAAAATAAAATTTAACAAACATATAAACAACAAATAGTGAATTAATTTCACGTTNTCCATTAGAGGTCAAAATGAAATTGAGTCAGGTATAAAATAGTCATTCAAATGAGCATTTTCATTGTAGTTTAGAACGCCCAATTACATTTTTACACGATTTAAAAAACAGTAATTTATCACTATAATTTCTTTGTATTATACACTTCAAATTTCCAAAATCATTTTTCAGAATTTTGAATTTAGTACATATAGAAATTTCGGACAAACCATTTCAAGTTTGGAGTAAACAGTACCTTCCCAACGTAAAAAAAAAATTATAAAATAATTCGTGCACATATAAATTTAAATTACAATTAACTTTTTAAATTCTTTCAAAATAAAAGAAGCTACATATTGTCAGAAATGTAGGATTCACAAAATTGAAAAAATGTTACCAATTGGACACTCTTCTTTGTCTTCGGTTTCCTCAGTTGGCGTTTGTCGTTCTTTTAGATTCAGAAACTGATTCGTGGTTAACAGAAGAGGAAGAAGAGTATACATTGTCTTCGTCTGACGATACCTTCGAACCTATTGCCGGTACTTCCCGAGCGATAGACAATATGCGGGGCCCGTTGCAAACATTTTCAAACAAATGTTCGTCCGATACGAACCAGGTAAAGATTCAAGAAAACGAGGAAGAATTAATAGAAATGACGACTGCAATTACGAATTTTTCAGACGCGGAATTAAATGAAGTACAACGTTAATTACTATTTATTGTTATAATAGCAATTTTCTATTATTTGTACAATTTTTAACATTATTTTACAATTTCATTTGAGAAAGCAAATAAAATACTTTAATGGAATAATTTTTTAACGTAGATATTCTAAACTATTTTCACTAAAATATATATTGAAACACTGAACCCAATTAACGTCCACTTAATAATTCAAAATTTATAATAGTAAAATTTATTTAGCAATGTTTTGTTTGGCACAATGTGTGCTATACAGGCTGTGGTTTTTTTGTTGTGAGCAACATTTTGAGGCCTTCCAAATACGTTGTAATCTTTTCAATAATTATAAAAATGTATTAAAAATGAACACAATTTCAAAGCGAAATTTTAATATAGTAATAAATTCTCAATTAGTACGGAATAGTTAATTTATTTTTACATGTATATCGGTTTTTGTTAACCACTACCTTGCAGCACATTTTTGCTATCTTTTCAAAAACAATTATAAATGGCCGTTTAAGTGAAATAAAATTAATGCACACCTACTGGCAGTTAACGTTAAAAGAAATTGAAAATTTCCCAAAACAAAGATAATACATGGAAAACACATTTCTTTGTACATATTTCATTCACCCACACAAACGAAATCGTTCAAACAAAAGCCTCAAAATATAGAATCCTATTACAAATATACATTCTAGGACAAAAATTTGGTGTAAAATTTAATACTTTGACGTACCCTCGCACAAACTGTTTCATATATTTTCCTCAATTTACGTTCGGCTGTATATATTTATTTATTGTTACACTAATTTTTGGAATATAATGAAAATTATTAATTAACTTACAAAAAATAAATGGACAAATTTAACAAAAAATTAAAATTACCCTTTTTAAAGAAAAAGAGCAATGTTTTACAAAACCCTACTTAAAATACACATAAACCATCTGAAAAAAGAATTATAAACGGTATGTTTATATTATTTACTAGTCCAGAAAGACTGGTTGACAATCAAAAATCTTCTAAAAGATTGACGACGAATTATAAAAATACAACATGATTCGTACGTAGGGATAGGGCAGAAATAGATGTCCTTAAAATAAACGTACCTAAACAAGTGCGATGGGGGTGGTGTCGATTCAGTCTTGTTTCAAACGACAGGAGTTGCTACGTAAGGATTAATGACATCTTTTATTTTTAAAGGACAAGCAGTATAGTCAGATGACGAAGTCGGGTGACTTTGGCCTTCTTTTGAAGGTAGAAGTTGTTGATAATGAGGCACTATCAAATTATTAAACAATGCACCCTGTTGTTCTTTTACAGGATTAAGGGTGAACAGATTGTGTGGAATTGCACTCTTTTCTGGCTCTAGCTGTTGCACGTTTGTAGGATTGTTTACTTGATCTGGAGTCACATTAATGTTCTGCGAGCTCTGCAAAACCGATCAAGTTAAAATAAACAAAAATTTTAGTATCAATAAGTCCCTCATACAAATTATTTATTTGATTTTTGGAAGCTTTTGGTATTACTACATTTCATAGAACGAAAAAATATATAAATTGTAAATAATTTGATTTAGGACTTTCAACAACGTTTACACGATTACTAACTAAATAATTTCTAACATTGAGTTACGTTCGATTTTTCTATAAATAAACTCTAACATCAATAAATTTTTTTTTNTATTTAATATACAGAATAGCCAGATTTGTTCATTGATTGAATTGCAATTATTTTATTTTACAATACCAAATAATCTAATAAAATGCCATATTTATATATATAATTTATTTTATTTTTGCGAATTCTAGAATAAAGAAGACTTTTACAAACAAGTATGAATATAATAGTAACTAATTACAAAACTACTTAAAAATCAACTTTTATGTATTGCAAACACGAAGCACCAAAATTTAAATCTGTAAACAGAATTAAAAAATTAAAAGAAAACAGCATTAATAACTTTTAATGCTTTAAGTTCTAATTAACATTTTATTGTCTTCCACAGCCGATTCTCAATTTTTTGACATTCTTTTATAACATTATATTTAGTATATGTCTATTTTTCTACTGCAGTTACAATTAATTACGTTTGGAGTTTATTAAATTTTTTTATGAACATTCTGGCCATTCTGCAATTTAATAATAATTTATAACAATATAAACATTAGAAAACTTTCAATTATAATGAATTTGTTTTCATTTACATAGTTTAAGATGTTTCTTTGGCATAAAAATGCATTTAACTAAATAGTTGTTTAACAAAATCCTAGAAAACACATGGTAATCAATTTTTATGGTCAAATTGGGTATTTACATTTATACAAACATGCACACGTTTACAACTATAACTCAGATGGCTAAGGAGCTGACTGCAAAAATTTTAAATGATATTATCGTAGGAAAAAACTGATATTTGAAATTTAAAAATTTTAAATTTTTAATAACTGTATGATCGCTTTTTGTATTTTCTACTTTAGTTTTTGTAATTCGCACAAATTACATACTACTACCAACAACAATAAAACCATGTATCAAAATGCGACCACCTCCCTAACTACTAAGGGGTTAACAACATAAGAGTGGATTGTACACGTTAGAAATAAATCATTATGAATTACGACAATCAATAGGAAAGCTAAAAGGTGAATTAATTTATTAAACTTTTAATGTTGTTAACCTCTCGATTAAATCTATACCTGGAACATCGATTCGGAAATAGTAGCGTAATATGAAATTAATAATTTATCTATAATAATAATATTAAGGACACATGTGTTACGATACTCTAAATACGGGCGCTATGTTCCCATTTCTTTCTAGATAGCAATTATTACTTAATATCATTTATTATTACTGCGAAATCATCACGACTTACTGCGACACTGGGACGAAAAACTTTTCATTTTGGCCACAACGAAATTTCGGGCCTTCGAAAATTCGGAGTTAGTAAAAAGTTTTAACATACAATTTTTGTTCACAACAATCAACCAATTGCAACAAATATTAATTTAATTTAATATGAGATTAATTATTTTTGCAAAAAAATACCGATTACTAAATTGAGATAACAGCTTACCTGAACAACTTTAGGCGCAGGCGCAACCTTCAAATGCATTTTAGTTTCGCATAGATCCTTTAGGCGTTTGATCCCTGTAATTTGAAGGAAATTTAAATCAAGCCTAAATAAAGAAAAGATACATTACGAAGTATTATAAAAGTTTTAATAAGTTTAGTACTTTATCCTATACAGTACAGGCAATATAATATTACTATTAAAACTTTCTTGAAACATTAAAAAGTATTTTTTCTTTATTTACCTTATTTAAAAAATGTTTCACAAAAAGCTTACTAGTGACAACGTGAAACTTATTAAATATAAACTAATTATTAAAATTACCGGCTGTTCTGTTCCTTTCGTATTTGTGTTCCCAAGCATCAAACAGGCGGTTGTAATATCGTGGTTCCATATATTGAAAGTATACATGCGTGGATGCTGTGGGGAAAATTCTTTCAAACTGCCCTTTAACTTGAAGTTCGTCTTCTGCTTGAGTTAAATGCCGAACATCGTCGCCAGTAAGTTTTTCCAATATTGCGGTCAAATACTTCAAGAAAACATTGACGAAATTAATAAAACTACAATTTATTTTACATTTCTTGTTTTTCCCCAATTGTATCCCCTCAAATCCCTCTGTAATTTGTTTAAAATGCAACGAAGAATAATGAATTTTACCTCATCTCTTCTCTCTTTCGCTGCAAAATGCATATGTTTGCCTTGTTCTTTCTTAAACAAATGAACTGAGTATAACTTTGAGTTGTAGCACTCAAAGTTGCAACCAGTCTTAATAACTTTTGGCGGGACGTGAAACTGGGCCAAATTGAACAAAGATTGTACCATGGGACCTTTTACATGGGCATCTAGAGGCGATTGACTATGTAAACTAGGGGATATGTTTACCTAAGAACGAATTATCTATTATTTTAAATAATTATTAAAAATTTAACAATACCTCTAATAACCAGGGGTCCAAATTCTCGTCCAACAACACGTCCACGCCAAAGAGTTCGTAGCAATTGTACCTATAATGATATTTTTATCATTTTAAAACAAAAATTTCTTTAAGAAATTAAGAGAGAAAATTATACCTATTGCTCATATTATCTTTCCCTAATGGGACTATCGTGCTTTCCCCACTAATCATGGTCTTTATGACCAACTGTTGAAGGCACCTCCACAAACCCTTTGTATCCACGTTTCTAGTTTGAAGATACTCCCATAATTTCGATAAAGTCCTATAAGGCAGTTCAGATAAAAGATAGGTAAAAGACTGAAAAAAATGACAAACCATTTACCATTTATGGCCCTGAAATGAATTGGCGTCGTCATTGGCGGTGTAGTTACTCGACAATTTGTTTATACTGTAGTTTGTCAGATGCATGTATCTGTCTTTAAGGTCTTTGTTGCTATCACTGTACTGAACTAAAATTAATGTTATTTTTTATTGAAGAATATCTTTTAATAAAAAATTCAAAATTACCACTAGCAAACCTGACCAGACCATCCGGATACAGGTAGATTCTTAGAGGATTGAAACTTGTAACCAAAACATAGAGGCGTAAATCAAACTTGTTACCGTTGATCAAAAATGGATTGGAAATGTATCTTTGCACTATTAAATTTGCCTTCTTTGGCAACTGAGACCATTTATGTATTACCCGTATGCCCGTACCTCTGGCAGAAGCAGGCTGTATTAACAAGTTTAAAAATGAATAAATTAAAATAAAAATAACGTAACAACTTTACAGGTTTGATAATCCACTTTTCGCTGTCGTCGCCATTCTTCCAATTTTGCTTTAAAACTTTCACTTCCTGGGGTAATATGTACGTTCTGGGGATAAATCCAAATCTGAAAATTTTTTTTTTTAATTTACAGAGTTAAATACAAATTTTCAGTTATTTTTTACATACTCTTTATGGCCATACATTAACATAAGTCTTTGTAAATTCCTCCAAAGTCGATCTTTTCTGCCCACTTGGAATGTACCAGGAAAATGGTTTAATTTTTGGCTATCCTTCAGTGTTTTAAACATGGGAGATTTCATATGTTTCCCCCATGTACCCACCCACTCAGTAGACTCTAAAAATTTTTTCATTTCACACAATAAAAACAAAACCACAACAAATGATTATGCCTTTTTAAAATAAAAACACATTTCGGTATCTAGGAAACTTAGGAAGTAGGATTACGGAATAATAAGGAAATGGGGATGCTGACCTCTAGTAAACTCACTTCTTATCAATCTAAACCCAGTGTTCGTTAGAGTGTTGCGCACTAAAACGGGAGTGATATTAGTTAATTTCCATTTCATATATTTTCGACCTGCAGGTAGCTTAAACGGTTCTCCATTGTGCATATTGAATCGGATATAAGGAGGGATGTGCGGAAATAAACTTTCCCTTAAAGGCCATGAACAATTATCGCCATCTCCTAAAAGATTTATTATATTAGAAATTGGAGTAACTTTTTTATTTTTAGGATCTCTTAATAATCATATTGTGTAAGTTTCTACTTATATTCAAATAGAAAAAAAAAAATAAATTAAAAGATATTTAACCTTTCTCATTATCATCATTGATTGTATTTTTTGAGTTAGTGGCATCAATACTTTGTACTGACTCTGTTATGTCCAGCCCTTCACAATCTTCTGAATCGCTGTATTCACTGAAACAATTGGTTTAATTTTTACTAATTCCTTAATGATAGAAATGTGATGGTTAAATAGCAAGCTTTTTGGATAAATGACAGAAATTAAATTAAATATTTAAATTAAGTTTGCTATACTGTAGTTATTAAAAATTGGATTTAAAATTCAGTAAAAAATACCATTCAGTGAAAATAAAAAATATATACCATTAGACTTTTCTAAATTACCTGTCTGGACCTGAATCGGCACCGTTTAAGAATTTGGACTTGGTTTTTTTAAGTTTGACGTTATTAAGCTTTCTAGTTTTTAATGAAACTTTACTATTAACGTTTTTCAAATCTTTCTTTTTCAAAAGGGCCCCATTAACACTTTTTTTAACTGCATCCTTTAAACCGCCGTCCTTCTTTTCCGGAGTTGAATTTTGTAGATTATTAATAATATCGTTTTTATAACGATACTGTTGTCCAGAGAGGGCCTTTTCTCTTATCTCATTCATCCTGGATTTGAGCATTTCAATTTCCTTATAGTATTTGTCTCGCAAATTTGACACGTCTTTAGCGTTTTCGTAATAAGTGTTGGTGTCGTGGGAAACAGGCGCTCCACCAATAGTTATCTCGACGTTCCCCAAGTTTGTCTTCGTTACCTTAACAGGTTGTTTACTAACGGTTGTTTTAATTGGTGGACTGGCTAGCCAAGGTGGTGAAGATACAGGTCTATCTTTTTTTTTCTGGTCAAAGTACGCCTTTTGACATTCTAATAATGATTTCTGATTTTCAAGTTGGTTCTTTAAATCTTCGAATCGACTAATTTGTTTTTCGAAAAGTGTTTTTTGGTTGCTAAAATTGAAACTTGTAAAGGGTCTACTTTCAGCTTGAGTAATCCGACTTTTGAGATGTGACTTTTGTTGGTTTTCGACCAATTTAGGAGGAAAACCTTGGTTTATCTCTTCATTTTGGGAACAAGTAAACTCGTGATTGTCCACTGTATGATCACTTTGTTGGTGCTTTTCTTTGTTTGTAATGTTGTGTGCTGAACTTTTTTTCATATTTTCCACTGGATTTTTGAAACTTTCTATTAAATTAATTTTATTTACAATATGGGCATTTTTGGCCTCAGCTTCGAGTAATTTATTATAAACCTCTTTTGAATTTTTAAAAGGTTGATAACTTTGGGCGCCTTTGGTAGTATTAATCGACTTGTTTTTTTCTAAAAATTTCCTGAATGTTTTTTCGTTGTTTCCAGAATAAAAGCCATTCAGAGAATTTACTTTAGCGACACCGGTTGAGTGTGATTGCCGGTTGCAATCGGCGCTTTTTGGTAGAAAGTGGGGCTTAACATGATCAACTGAAAAACTGATTTTGTTGATACTTTTCAAACTCTTATTACCCTCTTCCTCTTTTGCAAGTGCTTTTTTGTCTTTGTCCTGTTTTTCTAACATATTACCAAAATTTAAAGTCTGATTACGAACATCAAATGACTTGAATGAGTTTTCGTAAATTTTTGAACTTTTTTCTGAACTGTCACTGTAGTCGTTTTGACACTCTGAGACTACTTTTGTCAATTGGCAGTTGTTTGAAATGTAAGTGGTTGGCAACTCACATAAATTTGATCTGATACGGCAGCTATCAAAGCGAAAGTCTTTATTTTCATACTCTAAATCCATGTTCTCATACTCTCGATTCTTTTCGTATTTTCTAGGGGAAAAATTTTTCATTTCCTTACCCTTTCTACGGCAAGGCTCTAATGATTCACTTCTACACCTTCGACGAGGCGATTCTTTATCACAGGTTGGACACCAAGACCATGAGGTATACGAGAATCGACACTTGCTACTATATGATAATGAAAGATCACAACTAGCCATTTTTCTATTATTTACAAAGTTTTGATCGGACATCTGTACAAAAAAACCAATGTATTATTTTATTAGTTTAAAGTGAGTGTAAAAATTATATAGTAATAAATAACAAATTTAAATAGAAATATATCAGGTATCTATTAGTAAAAAGATATTAAAAGTAAAAAAAAAGTAGATACGCATTAATTTTATAAATACGTAATAACAAATATTCGGATAATAAGAAAATTAACCTCAAACACACTAACCAATTTTTAAGACATTTTTAATTACAATTTAACATACATTGTACCCATTGTAATCAAAATGTATTAATAATGAAGAAAAATCACATTTAAGATTAACTATCAGATGCAGCATGGGGTTTTAGTTAATTTTCATTAGAATTGTTCAAAATGGTGTGCAGTTAGAAAACAATGATACCAGGTACAAAGAAAAACTACTCACAATTACAAGATATTCTACAGGAAGGACACAAACAAACTGACCGAATCTGTTGTTTGAATGATTAACGAGTTAGTTCTTTACTATAAATACCAGTATTTAACACAAATTCGGAAAAAATATGAAAAACGGATCTGGATGAAGACCATCCAGACCGCGTGTTAAAAAGAAAGCGTTGATACAATCACCGACTAACAACGTGTTTTGTTTGTATCACTGACGTTTGGGATAATTGAATGACGTATCTCGTTATGCTATTCAAATTGAATATAAAATGGATGTTTTAAATTTCAATATAAAAATTTTCCCGCCACATACATTAATAGATTATATTTTTTTTCAAAATCTTTTTATTGTGGATTTAAAATACAGATATTTTTTGAACTATCACTATGTAATATTATTTACAGTTTGTTAAACAGCCATTTTAAAAACATGAATTTTTATTATAATTGAGAAATATATTTTTTCAACCGTAAATTATAATTTTTGTTTTTGAATTTATTTAATATACAGAATAGCCAGATTTGTTCATTGATTGAATTGCAATTATTTTATTTTACAATACCAAATAATCTAATAAAATGCCATATTTATATATATAATTTATTTTATTTTTGCGAATTCTAGAATAAAGAAGACTTTTACAAACAAGTATGAATATAATAGTAACTAATTACAAAACTACTTAAAAATCAACTTTTATGTATTGCAAACACGAAGCACCAAAATTTAAATCTGTAAACAG